CTGGAATGGTACTTCCTAAACTACTATAGTTTTTAGCATATTTTTCTTTAAATCAATTCACTTTATTATGAAACTAAATTTATTTGTAAAGGATATATATGTCATTATGCTAAATGGAAGACCATTAAACTTATTAAAATAAATATATACCAACTAAAGTAAAATAAGTTTTATCCAAGTATCACCTAAAATCATCCTATATTCCAGTTGGATTTTGAAAATGGGTAGAGTTTCAAAAAACAAATGTGGCATAATAAAGTCGTGCTTCTTATACCACTTAGATCAGAATCATCTCATGCTACTTCTATTAAAATCACCAGGGAACCTTACTAAAAATGAAGATTCCTGCTCCCTACCTACACCCTGAAGAACCACTGAAAAGATGAGAGAGGCAGAGGAGACTATACGTGAGCAAAGGCTTAGAGAAAGGAAAGGTCAAGGACATGCCTTTTTCTTCCTTTTTTTTTAAAGATGACCAGTAAGGGGATCTTAACCCTTGTTTTGGTGTTGTCAGCACCACGCTCACCCAGTGAGCAACCGGCCGTCCCTATATAGGATCCAAGCCCGTGGCTTTGGTGTTATCAGCAGCACACTCTCCCAAGTGAGCCACAGGCCGGTCCAAGGACATGCCTTTTTTTTTTTTTTTTGACTGGTAAGGGGATCACAACCCTTGGCTTGGTGTCGCTCGCACCGGGCTTAGTCAGTGAGCACACCGGCCATCCCTATATAGAATCCGAACCCACGGTGGGAGTGCTGCTGTGCTCCCAGTGCCACACTCTCCTGAGTGTGCCACGCAGTCAGCCCGGACATGCCTTTTTCAACCTGGCCAGTATGCAGAGTTTATTTCTAAGAGAGGAGGGATAGACAAGGGTGCAGGTGTAGGTTGGAGGGCTGATGGCTTAGTGCTCTGGAAGCACTAGGGTCAGCTGCAGGGATTCTCAACCTCTGCGGTATTGACACTTGGGGTTGGATAAGTCTTTGTTGCAGGGAGCTGCTCTGTGCATTGTAGAATGTTTAGCAGCATCCCTGGCTAAACTACCCACCATATGCTAGTAGCAGCTCTCTCCCAGGCTGTAACAACTGACAATGTCTCCAGACATTGCCAAATATCTCTGGGAAGGTGATCACCCCAGTTAAGTGTTGCCGGTCAGTAAAAAAGACAAAAAGGAAAAAAAAAAAATACAAGATTTTTAGGAGTGATGCATCTCTGTTCCCTTACCACCCCAATCTCCCACTTCCCTGGTACCCATGTGAAGCCAGTGCAGTACCTGGTCACTCCCATGGCAAGAATTTTATTAAATATCTCCTCTATACACTTGCTACAAAAGCCTAAAATGCCACCATTAGGAACTTATTCCTTTAGGTCAAGCATTACTCTCCCTAGGTGTCTCTTAAAATGCCAATCCCCTCTGACAGAAATAAAAAAGTATTACATCTTTACTACCTTGGTATTGGTCTTAGTTCACTAGCCCTCCCCCAGCTCCCTCTGCCCCCTCCCCCCCGTGGAATTCCAAAGCATCTTTGAGACACTGAAACTGGTGGGGGAGAGGGAAGAAGGGAGGAAGAATAGAAATAGCCTGACTGTCCCCAAAAGAAGTGGGGCACCCAGCTGTCTCACCTCCTTCACTGTAAAGCCACAGCCACAACTGCAACATTGGCTAGAGGTATTCATAGACATTGCTGGTAAGTTTTGGTCCAGCAGACAGCAACCCCGTGAACTTTGCACTGACTTTGCCTCCCTTTCTCTCCCCACCCACGCTTCTCAGCCTGAGGACCAAAAAATCTGGCTTTCTCGTAATTTGCTTTGACACTCACTCAGGGAATAACAATGCTAGTAAGAAATACACATAGGACAGCAGGTGGGAAGACAAATATTCCCCAGGAGCCCTCTTGCCAAAGTGTCAGACAATGACAACACAATCTGTACCCATTTCTTGCTACACAGGTTCTTCCCATAGCCTGGGATTTCTCAGGAGACATTGTTGACTTAGATCAGAGTCACAAACTGGCAGACCAGTGCCACCCTCAGATCTGAGCAAGAGAGGTCCCTGTTCTGAACTCCCATATGGCAGGGACTGGCCCTGGCCTTCCTCCTGCTATATCCTTTCCCATGTGGCAAAGAGGCCTTAGGACCCAGGAGACACACCTACCAGAGCCCTGTGTCCCCTTTTAGACCATTCTTCATATACGCAGGACACCAGAATTCCCTGACTAAATGGCCCCGAGCTGGCTTCTAGGAGCTGAAGCCCTGAATATTTCGTCCTGAATGTGGACCAGACCACTGGTATGTGCACTCCTGGACCCAATGCATACAAGGGATGCTGTCTGTAGGGGTGAAATATGTCCACCAACATGAACTTGGGGCCACCACAGAAGAAGAAGAGCCAGAGGAGGGATCCTCATCACCTTGTGCTAGTGCAAAATTCTGAAGTGCCGAAGAATTCTAACTTCAACCCTGGCCTTTCAGGTTGTCATGAACTTATCTTTGTCAAGGGAGGAGAGGACGATGTACCTTGCTAATAATTTGTACACTTGATTTATAACGTTTAAATATTTAGACATGTGGTATATGGCCTCTGTTTGTACTCTTGCCCCAGGTCCTGAAAATGTTAGGGGTAGACCTGACCCATCAAAATAGTTTGTTTGGTCTGCAGAGTATTTGTAAAATTTGGAGAGTTTATGTAGAAATTCCTATGTTGGCTTTTCTTGACGAATTGGAAGATACAGTAACACTGAGCCTGAATTTCCACGTGGCAGCCTGGAAGAGCCCCAAAGGGTGCTGCACACCCACTCCTCAGTTTGTCACACTCTCCACCACTCCCAATTGTCCTATGTCCAGTAAGTTTCATGGATTTACAGTGCCTGCTAGGGCCTGGAGGCATTTGAATGGGGGTCAACTGACCCACCAGCCTGGGGGAGCCATCCCTGTCATGGGTAGGAGGCTGGGATAGTTTGGTTGGTGAGACATCTAGGGTCAGAGTTCTGGAAGTTCAAATCTGTATTCCCAGCTGCCTCTCCAATTTCCCTATGTGGAGATGAAGTTAGCATTGGCACTCATCCTCGGCTCAGTGGTCTGCTACCTCTACCAGGCTGAGCAGAAGGAGAAGTGAAACTGCCTAGGGTCATTAGAAAGTGGAGAATGAAAGGGGAAGAGAAGTCCTTGCTTAGGGAAGGCAGCAGCGCACATGAGCTCCGCATTTCTAGTTCTGGCCCTGAATGTCATTCAGAAGATGCCTGGCACGGGTCATGTGCCTTCTGCGGGGGTTTCTGGGGGAAAATCACAGTGCTAGATCAGGGGTGGGGAGAAAAATCTCTGATTGGAAGGAAGCCTGACCATGAGAGGCCAGGCCCCAGGAGATTTGGCTACAAAGAAAGCTGGACCCAAAGTTCTGTGTCTTAAGACTGTGAAAAGAAACCAAATTCTACTCGCTGCTTCTTCTTTGCTCTGCCCATTAACAGAGGGATGGGAAGGAGTGAGGCAGAGCATTAGCTACGAAAGTTAGAACCCAGAGGAAATCAAGGAGAGAGATCCTCCTCGCCACACACCCCGGTCCACATCGAGTCTGTGCACTGGAAGAGGAGCCTGGTTTGCCAAGTTTGGTTGGGAGATCAAAGGTTAAAATGGCAGATTCTGCATTGGAAGAAATGCTGGGCCTCCGGGAAGGTCTGTCTCCCCAGACTTTGAGTTACCTGGCACAGCCCAGTTGCACACACTGGGCATCCTCAGTGACAGCTTGGCTGGTGAGGCTCCCAGTGGTGGCAATGTGCCTTCAGAGGCTGTTGGGTTCATCCCCCTCCCCCCTCATAGATAGGCTGCACAGAGGTCAGGTGACCACATGCTGGGACGCAGCTTTTCCAAGCCTTTGCGGAGCTTAATAATCATGATAGCCCAACCCTGGTATCATGCCAGAGGGGTAGGAGAGACATGGATGAGGGAGGTCCAGAGTTGAAACCTGACCTCAAACCAGCCAGAGCTGTTGCCTGGCAGGCTGGGGAGGTGTTGACGCAGGGACACGGGCCTGCTCCTCCCTCCCCTGTCAGTCCAGGATGGCTGCCAACAGGCAGGCAACCAACAGCAGCTGTCCCTCTGAAAGCCAAGGGACAAATCTGAGGATGGCTGCTGAAGGGGCTGAATCAGATGCCTGGCATGGCAATTTCTTTTGTCACCAGTTGGCTGAGCAATGGCCATGTGTGGGCAGACCCTGCTGCAGCCTCTGGGGATGCGGCCACTATTGCTCTTGGGCAGTGGGTGGGCGAGGCCGTGGTGTGCAGGCCTGTGGATCTCTGGGCAGCACGCAGACATCAGAGCTGAGGAAATGGAGCACACTGACTTCAGGCTCTGCCAAACTGAAGACACCCCATGTTACCTGAGCCACTTGTCCTCAGAGTGCTCAAATGGCAGCCTGCAGAGACGGCGAAGCCATGTGCTCTTTGTCACTGCTCTCTAAGGCAGGCGCCTTCAGCAGGACATGAAGCCCTGCTGGTAGGGAAGTCCCTGTGGACCTAAGTTACACATTGCCCCTTGAGAGCCTCAAGAGCGTGCTGCCTTTGTGTTACTAAAGTGCCTGGCACAGGGGCGGGCAGCATCTGATGGAGCCAGTTGCAGTCGTGTGAGTGGGAGATCATAGGACCCACCTGACTTACCGTCTTGCAGATGGCATCCCGCACTGGACCTTCTCCCTGACTTCAGAACGACCCACTTACAACTGAGAAAGCACAAGGCAATGAGGAACAGGAGGTGGGAGGTCATGGCGAGAGGATTTGAGGAGGAAAATCAAGAAGATGCCTAGAGGGAGAATTGAAGATGCTTTGACAAAAGCCCAGCATCCCAAGTAAATTAACAAACCATGAAAAAGGGGAGATATTAGCAGAACCTCCAGAACTCTTTGAGGGTACTTGAGGCCAAGAACAAATGAAGGTTCCCAACCCCACAGAATTTAGAGTTTTAAGGGAAACTGTAAAAGAGGGAAAATGTCTTGCCAGACTGGTTTCTTTTCAAACATTTATTTAGAAAAATAACCCTTCTCTGCCCTGCTCTCTCTGTGTCATGGGACTCAGGCTTCATGCCACATACTTCTCTGGATTGGGCTTTCCACCCACACGGGGTCCAACATGCGCTGAACAGCTGCCGCCTGCTGGGAGGCCTCAGGCCCCTCCAGCTGCCACGGTCCTCGTGTTTGATCCTTGTCCAGGCCTCTGTCTCCAAGTCTCCAGATGGAGAGAGGCCAGTGAGGGACGAGGGCAGCCGGGCCACAGTCTGTGTGCCCCTCCTGGGGCCTGCCGGAGCAGCTGGGGGTCGGAGGGCTCTGCTCTCCCCTTTCTCGAGGCTCAGGGCTGGAAGCGCGTGGAGCTGACGTGCGACTGGTGGAAGGCATGGGCACTGTACACCACCTCGGGGGGCGAGGGCGCACTGGTGGCCAGCGCCGAGCACAGAGGCTCGTGGCTGCTGAGCACGGACGTGAAGTACTTCATCTCCTCCGTGAGCTGCTTGATCTCCTTGCGCAGAGCTGCATTCTGCTTCTCCAGGTCTTCGCTCTCCTGTGAGGGGGAATCGGCATTGGAGATTAACATCTGGGAAGGAGGCAAAGGGGAGGGGGCGCAGGAGGAGGCCAAATTAGGCCAAAGGAGTTTTCCTGCACGTGGGTGTGTGCACGTGTGCATACATGCTTGTGTGTGTGTAGGGGTGCGTCTATATAAGCACATGTATGTGTGTGTGGCTGTATGCATAGATATGAGGTTGAACCATAGGACACTGCTGATATTTGTCTGTTTTGACCTATAAAAATAGCAATTTCCTATGTTCAACCTAACAGAGGTGTATGTGTGAGTGTGCTCCTTTGTGTGCATGTGTACAAGGGTCTCTGGGAGTGTGTCTGTGGGTTGAGACTGCCGAGGGAAACCAGCTGGCAGGCCAGAGCCTGAGAAAATGGAAAACAGTTTGTGAGAACATCTTATACTAATTTCACTTCGTTCCACTTGTTTTACCACGTGTTCTCCAAATGCTCCTAGTGTTTGCATTTAGTCTTATGTGTCCATGGTTAACTGTCTGCTTCACCCAGATTCTACAACACTTAGTGTCATTATAAATATTAAGTGGTCAAAGTATGCCACAGACTTTGCTCTATTCAACTCCGTTCCGCCTATTCAAGGGAGTTTGACAAGATAGTCGTCCCTCGGTATCCATGGGGGATTGGTTCCAGAACCTCCCATAGATACCAAAATCTGTGGATGATCAAGCCCCTGTTATAAAATGGCATAGTATTTGCATATAACCTACACACATCTTCCCGTATACTTTAAATCATCTTAGATTACTTGTAATATCCAATACAATGTAAATGCTATGTAAATAGTTGTTACACTTTATTGTTTAGGGAATATGATAAGAAAAGAAAGTCTGTTCACGTTCAGTACAGACACAATTTTTCTTTCTGGATATTTTCCATCTGAGGTTGATTGAATCCACGGATGTTGGACCCATGGACACAGAAGGCCAGCTGTACTCTGGATATGTCCAAGCCCATGTGTGTCTCCTTTTCTAGAAACAACTTTTCTCTATTGCTTGGGGGAACCATCAGATTCATGCTAATCAGGAAAACTCTGGGTAAGGAGTGCTGATTCTTGATCACATCATTAATTAATCAGCAATTATGCTCTGGTAACTAGCACTTACTGAAAAACAATCCCACTCAGAAAGCCCAAGAGAATTGCATTTCTGATGTGATATTCCGATGCGATATTCCTTGACTCAAACAGACCTTTTCTGCTAAAGCACTGGAGCCCACAGAAGAAGGGCAAATGGCATTGGAGATACAAATAAATGACATTTCTGTTTGAAAAACAATCTGATATTTTGGGACCAGATCTTACATTTCTAATTCTACTTGGTTTAGGTCAGCATTTCTCAACTTGCAATATCAGGAGAATTCATTTGAAGCCTTGTTAAAAATATAATTTCAGGCCCTTTCTGAAATCTAGAGATATGAACGCAGTGAGTTTGGGATTTGGGAGGGTGAAGTCTAGGAATGTGAATTTTTAACTAGTGCCCCAGATCGTTCTAGCCATTAGGCAAGTTTGAAAATACTGGTTAAATATGATATTAAACTTGTTTTAATTATTCAAGCACTTATTGAATGCCTGGCTCAATGTGTGGCACATGTGTGAACTCAAATATTTGTTGACTGACTGACTGATGACATCAACTGTTGGCATGAAGTTGACTCAAAAAGACAGTAGGAGGTGAACAGATGTAAAATAACTTGACATTTAAAATTTGCCATGACCATGAATAATCCATCAGAAGCATGAACTGCAGGCTGGGGAGAGAGCTGGATGGGATGTGTCGGTTGCGATGCCCATCATCCTAACCCGTGTACCCCAGACAGATGTAAAATAACTTGACATTTAAAATTTGCCATGACCATGAATAATCCATCAGAAGCATGAACTGCAGGCTAGGGAGAGAGCTGGATGGGATGTGTCGGTTGCGATGCCCATCATCCTAACCCGTGTACCCCAGGGGGTTCCTTTTAAAGTAGTAGAGGAGTCAAGCCAGCTTCCATCAGTTTGTGAAGGACAGATATGACCATGCTCAGCCTCAGCCCGGTATTTCCTGAATGTGACTCAGAGCTAGAAATTGTGCCCAGGTCGGTACAAAGGAAGTCCCCATCTCTAAAATGGGGCAGGGGGATACCAAGAGCCATGATGGAGTTAGAGCCTTGGCTTCTTCTGGAAGGTGTGGCATCTCATTCATTTTACCACTTGGGTGTTTCCTGGCACATCCCAGAGGGAGGGCATCCCCCCTTTACCGAAAGGTAAGATAAAGTGACACCATGAGACTGGGGGGGTGTTGGTAAGACGGGAACTGGGGGCCGGGAGTCCTGGCTCTTTCCTCTAGCCCTTTTCTTCGCCCCCTCTGAGAGTTTCCACTAGTGATAACATTTACTGTAAATTCTGTGCTCTGAAGAGCCTGGGCAAACCCCAAGGCAGAAGGGAGGGGCCAGGGTAGGCCCGCTCTGACCTTCTCCCCGCCTAGAGGGAGGCCCAGCTTTCGGGAAGTGACAGCAGGTCCTTCCTCCCAAAGCAAGCTGTGCTGAGCTCTCTCTCAGCTGCCTCTCCCCTCCCCGGCTTGCAGATCCCAGAGCTCTAGGAGGTGTTCATAACCGCTGCCTGCCCCTCTAACCAGAAAACCACCACCAGTGACAAGAAGCTTTGTCTTTACCTTGGGAAGCAAGACTGCTTCCTGCTAGGGCCCCAGAGAAACCCTTCCTGCCAGCCCCAGGGCCATGCAGCCAGCCCGACACTTACAAGAGAAAGGGTTTGACTTCCCCTGCAGGAGGAAGTGGCTGATCTGGGGCCTCTTCCCTCCCCTCACCTCCCCACCTGCTATTGCTCAGTCCACTCTGACCCTCTTCAGGGCAGCCATGCCCTGGAAAGGGCCCACACAGCTGAAGGGACAACTGGAAAAGGTGGCCATCAGAGCTGCTGTTTATCTAGAGGTACAACAATCACATCCCCTAACTTCCCAATAGAACTCAGGAAAGGGGAAGAGGAAAGGAAAGTTTGGGAAGGAAATTTTGGCTTCTATCGTGCATGTCTTTTCCTTTAATGGGGGAAGGGTATACCAGCATTTGGGCATCCATCTAACAGGCTTTCTGCTTTCCAGAATTCATTTAGGTCCATCAGGCTCCTCATACCAACCCTCTGAGATGGATATGGAAGGCCAGCTGTTATCATTAGCCCAACTCTACAGATGAGCCCAATGGAGAGCCTGGGACAAACCTACCCCACACACCCCCCAAAGTGATCACAGGCTGGAAGCAGCAGCTGCTAGGAGAAAGTGCTATAGGATTCGCCTCAGTGAGTCACTTGGGATTGATCCAAATACCCACAGCTGGGTAGGGGCAGAGCATGGCTTAGCTCAGGCCCTAGGTTCCTTTTAGCACCCCTGAATGCTTCCCCTGAGAGGCTGGAGACTTGAGTGGGCAATGGTCTCCAGGGAGCACTGAGGAGTCGTTGGCTGCTCTGTAGTCTACCAGGAGAAAGCTGGGACTTGGGTTTGGTGATCCTTAAACACAGCAAAGAAGCCTGAGTCACCACACTCTTCCAATCACAGAGGTGATGACTGGCCTGAGCTGAGTTGGGAGGGAGTCATCTGTCCAGCTGTTCTGGAAGAGGGCTTCCTTGAGGCCAGGCCTTCTTCCAGATGCAGAGCCAGGTCCTGAACACATGACAATGGTGGGTTCTGTTGGCAGTAATTGGGGACGGGTCCTGGGTCCTGGTCAGGGCTGGGTGACCCTCGGTGACTTGCTTTCCCTGTTGAGCTCCAGTTGCCTCATTTTAAAACAGGAAGACTGGACCCAAACAAATGATTCTCAACCTCAGCCACACATTGGGATCCCCTGGGGAGCTTTAATGATACTGGTGCCTGATTCTGACTTAATAGGTCTGGGTTGCAGCCTGGGCATTAAAGGCTTGTTGGGTTGTTAAAGGCTCCCCAGAAGATCTAACATGCAGCTGATGTTGAAAACCACAGGATTAGAAGATCTCCAAGTCCCCTCTAACTTTCACATACTTTGGATTCCAAATTGACTACCTGAGTGTATTAGCAAACTAGAGCCTCTAACCCCAACCTGTTGGAAATGTGTGTGCGTGTGTGTGTGTGTGTGTTGGGGGTAAAGGGGTGTAGACTCAACTTATATGAGAAAGATTAGTGGAATCCACATTTTTTAAAAGAATAACCTAGCTTGACTTAATAGTAACTAAAATTTATTGAATACTACCATATGCCAATCACTCTTTTATGGTTTTTATCATATTTTACTGTTATCATTATATTTAATCTTTGCAACAACCTCGTGTAGTAGATAATATTATTATCTCCATTTTACAGGAGAAGAAACACAGAGGTACAGAGAAGTTAAGTAACTCGGTCGAGTTTGCACAGCTTGTAAGTTACAGCACCAGTATCTGCATTGAGGCAGTCTGGTTTCAGAGTCTGTGCCCTCTGTCCTCTCCTGCCTTTGGAGTCTGTTTAAACCTTGTGATGTTTGATAATTATCTCCTGTGAGGCCCCAGCCCTGTTGGCTTTCCAATGTCTTCTTCCCTCTTTTCCCACCTCATGCAAATCCAGATGCTAAAGTTTATAATTCACCCTTGCCTGTGGGGTCACCTGATGCCACCTCTATCATGAACCATAAGCAGCTTAGGGGGTGGCTAGGGAAGAGGCTTCCTGGGGGTGTGGGAACACTCTGGGAAATCCCCTACTGGAGGGGCTGGGGAAGGGCCCTCAAAGAGCTCTTGAATGATGGGGAATCCCCAGGAGGTTCCCTTACACCCAGGGAGCCAGTTGGGACAAAGACCAAGGACAGGCCAACATTGCCTAGGTGGGTTCTGGCCCAAGGCTCTGGCAGGGACTCTGCAGGCATTCTGAGCCGGGCTTGGACCTCCTCCACGCCAGGTCTGATTTAGTGCCGTGACCTTCTCCTTACTATTTCTAATCACAATTTCCAGAAGGGTGAAAACAGCCCCTGTATGTC